GTAGCCGGATCCTCATTGCTATAAATTAGTTCCAGAATGTTGCTGTTTAGCATGTCTTTAATTTCCTTTCCAGCTATGTTTGTATCCTTGTAGTCCCATCTGGTGTAGTGGGCGTTGAAGTCTCCTAATACTATAGTTTTGTGTGAGAAAGTCAAGGTTTGGATAATTCTGGGGAGGATTATAGACTGCATATATCTTGAATTGGTTTTGACATTTCCAAACATTTAATCTGATTATTTCACATATGTCTTGTGTCGAGCCCATACTCTTGATTAGGTTGTAGTGTGAGGTGAGGCCATCTTTTACTCCAGTTAGAATTCCACTTGCAACTTGCCGGTATTTAGGTAGATTATACAGGGTGTAACTTGGGAATTGGTAATACTTCTGTTTATCATCCGAAATGTTAGGTTCCATAATTGTGAAAATGTCTACATCATAGGTTTGTAGTATTTTCTGTATTTGGATCTTTTTGTCCGGAGACATTCCTCCAGCATTCCACTGGAGGATCTGAAGACATTGTGATTCGCCCTGACGAAGGCGACTTTTCTTATAGCCTTTTTTAAAGCTAATCATAATTAATCGAAGTCAAAAACGAATGCCGAGAGATAGACTTTTTTGCCGTAAGAAAATACGTAGTCCAGGGTGCACTACGTGGAGGTAAGTCTATCGCGCATCCCAAATAAATTTTGATCATCAAGGTGATAAGATTGATCGAAATTTATGTAAGAACATAGTTTAATAGAAGGTGCAAATTTTAAAGCCATCAAAAAATCGGTTTAGACATCAAATTTTCGGCGTAAGTAGCAACAGTCATCATAATTAAAAAGTATAAAATGTTGAGCAGTTGGACTTCAATGACCCCAATATATCTACCCAATTTTAATCTAAAAATATTTCCAGTAATTTTTCAACACAGGCATATTCTTTAAAGGCTAAAGGTTAGTAAATCACTATTATTGCTTCATTAATGAATGTGCAATCTCTTTGCACGTTCATTTGAGATAATTCATAAGTAATGATATGTTCAAGTTTTGTCAGAACTCTGTATGAATGCTATAAGTTTATGATCAAGCAGGTAATCTGTACTAAACATATTCGTTTTTCGAAACTTGTCAATGATTTTGAAATTGTATTTCATAAAATTTATTGTTTTACACATCTGGGTCGTTGTGGCACCTAATACCCTACTGCCTCTTGCACTACCATGCTTTATCTAATTGATGAACAATATCAAAATATACACGATTAAAAGTAACATAATTCAATAAAAGCGTCGCTGGGCAGAAGAAAAGGATGGTGAAAGTCTTATCATTTTTCCAATTATGATAAATTATTAAGACACAACGAAAAAAACTCTAAATTTGATCAAGGTCTTATTAATATTATACTAGCTTTTGTCCGTTTTAATACTTTGAAATATGTATATGGCCGACGTAAAAAAGAGTGGGGAACTTGTCATTATTCTATTCATAGTTAACGGAGTTGATTAAAATGAAGAAATCAAAATTTTAAGATAAATTTTCTTTCATTTATATAAGCATATTGTATGATCAAACGTATTTATTCTCGCTAATTTTACATAGTCTTTTTAACGCCAGAAATAATTCGACTATCAAAATTATAGTCCACCCAAGATTATGTTAAAGCATAGTCCGAGATTCTCGGTAATTGAATCCCGTAATCTTTTGTGGCTACCATTAAAAGTCTTTTTATATTTTTCCGATTGTGGAATTACGTCGAATGCCCTATCAATCAATTTGTTAATTGCTTTTTATCTCTTCCCGCGTTTTCTCCACATCTTCAACAAATAATAATATTAAATATTTAATTGATATATTATATTTAAAATAATTGCAATGTAATTTATTTTTTAAGCTTTACAGCAAAATGAAATATTAAAATTAAGAAATATGAAATAAAGATTTTCAATCACATTAAAATTTGAATGAAGGCAGTTTGTTGAAAAGAGATTATCAATTAGTTCATTTCACGAAAAATAATTTCATGACTAACCCGTTTTCATTCAGAAATTCACATTAGAGACAAGAAAGACAACGAGTGCTAGAAATATGACCTACATTGCAATTTATACATTTTATACAATATCAGTACTACATTAAATATTAAAACGCTTCACGTACATATGTTTTCATTGTATTCCGATATTCAACACTGTTTGCAAAAATAGAACATTATGCATTGATAAGTGCACTCAGACAATAAGACACGTGAAGTGGGGTGTGCGATAGACATACCTCCACGTGGTGCACCCTGGACAACACATCTTAGTACTCAAAAAAGTCTATCACTCGGCATTTCATTTGACTTCGATTTATTATGATTAGCTTGAAAAAAGGCAATAAGAGAAACCGCCCTTGTCAGAGCGAATCACAACGTCTTTAGATCCTCCTGTAGAATGCTGGAGGGATATCATAGGACAAACTAAGGAAGCTTTTGGTAACTTTTATGCTATAAATTTTTATACTTAAGGGTGAAGAGCCGAATACAATTGACGGATTTGATAAACTAGTATGAGGGGTGCGCTATAGACTTACCTCCACGTGGTTCACTATAGACAACATAACTTCGTACGGCAAAAAAGTCTATCACTCAGCATTTGGACTTCATATTATGATAAGCTTGAAAAAAGGCTATTATGATTAGATTGAAAAAAGGCTATAAGAGAAATCGCCCTTATTAGCTTTGAAAAAGGCTATAAGAAAAATCGCCCTCGCAGGGGCGAATCACAATGTCTTCAGATCCTCCAGTGGAATGATAGAGGAATGTCTCCGGAAAAAAAGATCCAAGTACAGAAAATCCTACAAACCTATGAAGTAGACATTTTCACAATTATGGAAGCTAGCATTTCAGATGACAAACTGAAGAACTACCGATTCCCAGGTTAAACCTTGTACCTAACTGAAGTACTACCAATTCTCAGGTTACACCTTGTACCTCCTGAAGTACTACCAATTCCCAGGTTACACCCTGTGCAATCTGAAATACTGTTGCAAGTGGAATTCTGACTGGAGTTAAAGAAGGCCTCACCCAAGTGGAATTCTAACTGGAGTTAAAGAAGGCCTCACCTCCCACTAAAGTGGAATTCTAACTGGAGTAAAAGAAGGCCTCACATCACGCTACGATCTAATCAAGAGCATGGGATCAACACAAGACATATGTAAAATAATCAGATTAAATGTTTAGAAATGTCAAAACCACTTCAATGTATATGCAGTCAATATTCCACCCCAGAATAGTCCCAACCTTGACATTCTGAACATCTCACACAAAACTATAGTATTAGGAGACTTCAACGCCCACTCCACCAGATGGGGCTACAAGGACACAAACATAGCTGGAAAGGAAATCGAAGGCATGCTTAACAGCAACCCTCTGGAACTTATTTACAGCAATGAGGATCCGGATACATATTTGCACAACAATGGAACCAAAACAACTTCTGACTTACTCCTGACTTCAAGCGACATCAGCGAGCATAGACGCCACAAAATAATTGACGATCCTGGTTCTGGTCACAAACCAGTCATTGCTAGTATTACCATCGGCAGCAAAAGCATGACAAGGAAAGTGCCAACTAAGCTATCATGGAACTTCAAGAAGGCTGGCTGGCCTAGATTCATAAACTTTATAAAGAATAAACTTTCCACAGGTCCCCTCAAGCATCCTGAAAAACTTTGCACTGCCGAATATTATGATCAGATGTGCAAAGAAAACTATTCCCCTTAACTTCAGCCAACATCCTGACCAACTTTGCACTGCTATCACGAGAACCACCATCCTGACAAACTTTGCAATGATATTACGAATATCATGATCAGATGTGCAAAAAAAACTATTCCCCGAGGCAAGATCAACTTCAACCAACATCCTGACAAACTTTGCAAAGATATCGCGAATATTATGATTTAGATGTGCAAAACTATTCCCCGAGGTAAAACTAAACACTATCGAGTGTTACTATTCCCCGAGGCAAGACTAAACATTATCGAGTGTTTTGTTATTCCCCGAGGCAAGACTAAACACTATCGAGTGTTTTGGTGTCCCCGAGGCAAAACTAAACACTATCGAGTGTTTTGGTCTGAACAATATCACGAATATTATGAACAGATGTGCAAAGAAAACTATTCCCCGAGGCAAGACTAAACACTATCGAGTGTTTTGGTCTAGACATCTTAAGGAACTGAAAAAGGACGCCCTTTGCAACACTGCTGATCAGACTGGAAAAACGGAAGACGTACAAGCCTGGAGGGGATAATCAGCTGTCTTATGTCAAGCCTGGAGACGACAATCAGCTGTCCTAAGGCAAACACTAAACGGACTTCCTTCGACAAGTTCATCTCAAATATCAACTATCAAAGTGATTGCCAACGCACTTTCAAATTCCTGGGTAACCCTCCAAATCAACAAGAAAAGTCTCAAGAAAGAACCAATACGTTTTAAAACAAACTGCTTACCACCGACTCCGAAATAGCTAACTGCTTTGCGAGGTTCTATTCCCACAAGGACTAGAAAACCCTTTTGTCAGAAAATCTTCAAGAGATTTAAAGATACAAGTAAGACAATTTGGTGAAATTAAGGAAGATACAACACCATATAATGTATTTACAGAACCATTCCGACCTTGCGAACTTAATGCTGCGATAAAACAGCTAAAGTGCAAAACGTCTCCTGGCGAAGACGGTATTCATCCGGAATTTTTAATTAGAATAGGATTAACAGCCAAGGAAACCATGATGACGCTTTCAACAAAATCTTGGAGACCAGTCCCGTACCTAACCAATGGAAGGTTGCCATAGTACTATCGGTACTGCGCATTCCCATGGATAAATTCCTTAGCACCTATGCGAATAGAGCAAGGCATTTGAAAACGCAATCTGGTCTAATAAAGAAAGCCGTATGAATGAATAAAGTATTACAAATGGATGACAAATCTAACAACTTACTCTACCTTTGAACCCATCAGCAGACACTGATAAGGTGTCTTATGCCCCATTGCTTGACTACTTCTGGAAAACAAGCTTCTCTCCAGATCAAATGCGCTAACTGGCGGTTGAGAAATCAATGTCAACTATCCTGGAGATCAATGGCTCCAAGTCTTCACTGATGGGTCATATATAGAAAACAAAGCAAACGTTGGTGCAGGTGTCTTTTCTGAACTCTTCCCTCATTATGCAGCTTATCCGCTTGCGAAGGCAAAATATAAGCTATTAGGATAGCCCTAACCCGATTATTTTGCCTGGATGCGCAATTCATCAAACCTGTAATACGTTCAGACTCACATTCAAAAATTAACTCAATTGGAAACGGAGCCATCCGAAACTGATGAGTCATATAAATGTAAAAAGCCTATCAGCTGCGGATAGAAAAAATGCGAAACAGTGGTCTTACAAAGGATTCCTGGTCACTGTGGCCATAAAAGCAATGAACTTGCTGACGCACTTGCTAAGAAGGGAACAACAATTTCCAAGGCATAAACCGACCGATGTCTTACCACGCAATGTAGACTTTAATCGGGAAAGAGTTCAAGACTTTAAGTTGAAACGAACTTAAAGCTGAAACAAAGGAGAAACAATGGATAGTAGCACTTACCGACATGGCCAACTAGCCAAGAACCGAATCCGTTGCGGAGTTCAGACTACGTACCGACACGACTGCCTGGCTAATCACCCTCACAAATTAGGAGAATACACCCAACCAGCGTGTCCGCTTTGTGATCTAGAAAGGAAATGAAGAAGACCCAACTGATTCGGTGTCCTGCCCTAAAGACAACAACGGAAACCCAAATTTACTGGGAAGCTAGGTGATAACTAATGAACTGCTATCAATTAACTGCTCTTTCTGTTCCTCCGCACCCCACTCCCTAGTGGATGTCGAAGTCAACTAAGTTGGCTAAAGACATATGTCATAAAGTCTGACATGTTTGTGGCCAACCTTAGAAGAGGAAAGAAAAGTGCACAGTTGGATTTTTATTTAAATTTAAGTTGTTTATTAAAGAAAATCAGACAAAATTTAGAAATTAATTCAAGTTAGATGCATATAATTCAACCGTAAGTATAGTAAGAGAATTAAATTTTTCTGTAAATTTAAATGATTTAACGAATGTTTCCATGCTCATTGCAATATTTACAGACTTTTTTCAACCTTTCAGATATGAACCCATTGAATAGTTTTGACTTAGTCTTTTTCAGTTGTGAAATTGATTGAAATAAGAAATTTCACCGACAACAAGGGTTCTAAAGTCTTATACGAGTTGATGATGGCATTGAGAATTTGACAAGTTTGGCTTATCTAAGACGTAGTATGATAACTTTTCAGTCTTCTCACTATAGGCATTTGACAAAACTCTAAATTGTAAATCGATGGACTGTTCTTCACCCACAACTGATATTAATTGATAAAGAAAAGAATAAATGACATTAAATTACTAAGCCATTTGTTAATATGTTATAAGTAAAACGCACAGAAAATATGTAAGTCAAACTTTAGGTTATATAAAATTTATTTGAATAAATGAGTTTTGTTTTGTGAAAATTTAGAAAACTTTACTAGTTTTATTGACTTTTTACAGTAAGAACCCACAGTAATAATGTGAGCATGAAAGGACGCTGAGAACCTTTGTAATTTGTTATTTTATAAATTTTAGCACAAAACATGTTTCTTAAAATCGTTGTTAAGCTGACTCACAATGTGAAATGTTTCATGCCGAAATGACGACAAATTCTCTCTGATGCTTTCTTCTCGGATTCATATGAAATATTTATTCATCTCAAATGACATGCGCCTTATCAGTTATTATTGGCGCTTTAGCTGACTTCGGGCTTCACAGTGAGGAGGGAACATCAAAGTGACAAAAAATTGAAAGGGTGAACGGAAGAGTGATTCACGGATATAAAAGATACAGAAAGACACAAAGGTAGAGACAAAGTAAAATGAGTGCTATGGAAGCGGTTGACTATGGCATACAGTGGGGTGATGGTAGTTTAAAGTGAGAAGTCAACTATCGGTTAATATAATTTTTTGTCGTATGGGTATGCGTTTCCCAAGATGCGCCGCGTGGAGGTAAGTCTATTGCACACCCGATTTATAAAGAGAATCATAGTTGAGCTACGTCCATGTGGGCATTTAGCATTAGTTTATTAATTCGCAGAACAGATAGTGACTATTTATTGATATTTATTGAGTTCATTGTCATGAAGGTCATCAGTCTAGAGTTGTCGAATTTGGCATTGTTTATAACGCATCTCTTCTATGGCGTAATGAGGAATTTATTTATTAATATATTTATTTCAAATGGCAGGCTTTATGAAAGTTATCATTAACCCTTTAGCTGAATTCGGGCTTCACAGAGAAAAGAAACATTAAAGTGGAAAAAATTCGAGATGGGGAACAGAAAAGTGATTCAAGGATGCATAATAGATAGACAGACACAATGGCGAGTATTGTGGAAGTGGTAGAATTTGACATACAGTTGGGTCATTGAAGCTTGAAGTTAGAAGTCAACTGCTGGTTTATAAATTTTTTTGTCGTATGAGTATACTTTGCCCAGGGGAGCACCACGTGGAGGTAAGTCTATCTTTCACCCCTTTCAAATATGATATACAGAATACAAAATCGAAAGACGATTTGAAGTTATTGGTTTGTTCATATTCATCATTGCGAAGGATAATTAAAATTTTTAAGTGAAGAATTATAATGACTGCTGCAGAATAAACCTCATCATATGGCCATATAAACAATTTGAGTAATGAATGCTATAAGACCATGCAAAATTAGTTAAAAATGTTTTATTGAGTTGATTGGCAATAAGACTATTGGATACGTTCATCCACTAGATTAAAAGAAATAGCAAATCTTATAGAGTTCAAACAAGCTAAGCAAACCGATGGTAACGAATCACATAGATTTGGGCCCACTTTTCAAAATTTTAACTTTATCCAAATGTATTGCCCAAAGCGCATTTTCATTAATTACCCAGTTTTAAGACAAATCTGAAGAGTATTTCATTAATACTTAGCTTAAATTGTGTTATTCTTGAACTGCAAAACTGGTGCAGGAACGCGCAGCTAGTAGAATGGCTAATAGTAAGTTAGATATTACCTTGATTTTGCCTTCTTTGTCAAGCAACTATTTGCAGAAAACCTGATTTCACTTGTGAACCCTCATTCTTGCATCGTAAATTTGAATCGATTAAAAAATTAAGAGTCTCTCTGCTTCCATCTACATGTGAGCGACTGTCAATACTAAGAATGAAAGTGGTATTTTACTTTGAAAGTATTTTACCTACCAGATTAGCACTAATTTTGCTTTTTATTATTATGATATCCTTGTATTTAGGATCTATAGGCGATCACCCACCCAAATTTCTAACAGAACAAAGGTGAGGATGACTGTATTAAAAGAATGCAAAAACTTTCATTAAGGAAGGTTTTGCAAGGGATCATTACAAGAAATGGAACCAAGTTAGATTAATGAAGCAGAAATGACATTTACGGCGTGGGTCTTTACAAGGTCTGTGCAGAGAAAAGAGAGTTGAAACTTCTTAATGATGTCCAAAGATGACAACTTGAATTAAAATATAAGAGCCCATGAGAGACTTTTCTCTCCTTTGGTAATCTAGATGTTGTTGCTTTACTTTGATCGCAGACCTGCCAAACACATATGCATTCCATTCGTTGAAACCAACAAACATTCAGACACCTTCAAAATTGATAAACGAATTTCAAATA